AAATATCTCAAATAAGCAAATTTGACACTTTTATCAAAACTTAAAAATTTACACTTCCACATTTTCGTGTATTTTTTTTAATCCCTCTTTTAACTGAATGTAAATGCATGTTGTGTATTTAACAAATTAGTCACATGGTATTTATGAATAAAAAATGTCTATCATGAGAGTGCCTGTAAGATGGATTTAGAAGTTTTTTTTCGCGCAAATATTATTATTCATCTTCTGAACTGAAAATATAGCATTACTCTTTGCTGGTCATCATTCCAAATGGTCAGTTTAGATATTACGAAATTTAAATCAGTTTAAGTCATCGTTTCAGGTTAGCATCGGTTGCAGGGATTATCACATTACTGTCTTTTTCGTCTTTCTTCTCCTTTGTTATCATCGATTTACAGAATTGTGTAACAAATTGCTGGATTCGACAAATGTAGCACCACATGAAGCCGAGCTATACTGCAAACAGTGCCACGGTCGAAAGTTTGGCCCAAAAGGTGTTGGCTTTGGCTTAGGTGCTGGCGCTTTGACAATGGATGACGGTTCGAGATTTGCTAACAAATGAACTAAAAATGGGGTCAGCATAGTAACCTGTTTTGACCTTAATGCTTTTATTTAAAGTTCCGAAAAACAATTAACAAATCTAACAAGTATCATCTGTCTTCTTTCTAGATGTGCTAGCTAGAAGGCTTCTGATTCTTCTAGGACATAACGATTCCTTCATTGGCATATTTTTTTTGGGGCATATTTACTATGACAAATTATTTCAGATCATTCTTTAAGTGCTTCAACACATTTTTACAGTTCTTCAAATTTTCCTGTTCTTCTTTATATCAGACAAGAATTTTTTTGATCTTTTTGATGTTTCAGTTTCTTTTTTTTCATTTCTATTAATTGTTTTTAGTTGAAATTAAATCATTTTTTTTCTTTTATGTATGTTTTTTAGGAATAGACCGATGACAGCCGAAGCATTCACAGCTCCCATCAATCCAACTCATAAGTAAATTAAAAAATGAGGAAAATTAAATTTCTTTAAAATATATTTGATATTTATTTCCATTCGATCTGTGACGACGGTCTGTTCGCGCTCATATTTTCCATATCTTTTTTTTGAACATTTACTATGAATTAATTTTTGTTTTTACAAAATTTAATAGCTCTGTAATATGTTGACCTTTTCAAGAATTGTGTTAATGTTTTCTCACATATGGTAAATCTATGTGTGAATAAAAATTGCTTTTCTATTATACAGTAAGATTTTTTTCACTTTTTTAAAAAATTCACTCTGCAATTTCCGTCTAAGTTAAAGTATTTCGATTAACATTTTTTCTTGGCATAATTTGTTCCAATAAAAATTTTATTTTTAGTAAAGAAATTTAATCAAAAATTTTCATCGATGAAAAAAAAATACTTGGATTGAAACGGATAGTAACAATAGAATTAATATTGTAAATTGAAATAGCTACGCAAAGATGAAATGTTTTAATCGATTTCATTTCAGGTTTTAGATATTTTTTTCAATGACGTTTTACGACTATTTTGATGAATATTTAAACTGATAATACCCATGTTGTAAATTTTGTTAATTGATGTTGACGGTATCGGAAATTGATCCATAACGATATATCTCTGCAACTCAACTTCATGAAATATATCGACTGACTAATTTGAATATGTCACAGAAAATTGAATATTGGATGAAATTAAATCAAAGATCATAAACTACATTTAATTCGAAAATGAATAATTTCTCATTATTGGGGACGAATTTAAAGATAATAAAACTTCACATCACGCGGCGAGAAATTCGCATTATAAGTAGCAAAAATAAAAATTGATAGACTTGTTGAGAAATTAAGAAAACTTAAATTGATCAAGGACTAAGTTGTAATTTTAAATTGAATGATGCATCCTTTCACTGATGCCATTGATAAATTTCTCTGCCAATCCTTCCAAGTAAATTCTTGTTAAATTCCTTTATTATAGGAGAATTAGTAACTTGATAGGAAAGTGAGATTTGAATGAGAAACTGAAGGAAATGTTTGTCATTGCGCTACCACTAAACTTTATCTTATCATTTCAGCTAGCAAAAACAAATCAATTTTATGCCATCCTTCACAATATGTTATAATACGACTCAAACTATGCTACGAATTGTTTCACTTCTCACTAAACGATAACTGATATTATTGATAAGGTCAATAATTTTACATGGAAACAAATGAGATGTAGAATTTTTGCAAAATTTCCAGTTTTCACTTCTCTACTCTAAGCTATCACACGTGTCTACGTGTGAATTATCATCTTCCTTGGAGTTGCCGCTTAAACAGGACAAATGAGCCAAATGCCAAAAACATTCCAAAAAACAATTGTGGGTAAACAATTTTTTGGCCAAAGTGCGCATAATGTCAATGAAATATATCAGAAGAATTAAATTTAAATATAATAGAAAATAAGAAAAAAAACCATGTTAACACTGCCTTGATAACAGTGATGCCTGATAATTAGATATACCTCAATATTGCCCCATTCTCTCGTCCTTCCACTAATTTCAAACGATCCATTATTCATTGGTCGTGTTGAATTCAATTTATCATCAAAGAATGAAATTAAATCATAATATATATGTCACACATGTTGCTAAATAATAATTTACTGTTTTTTTTAAGAACAAAAGGAAGCAAATTGATATTTTTTGGGAAGAAATGAATAAATGACACTTACAATCATTAATAAATTAAAATGATATATATACTTCTCATCAGATTTTTTATGGATAAATTTTTAATGTTTGCTTTTTTCAATGTTTCATCGAATAGCTGTTAAAACTTAAAATTATTTGGAAGTTATGAACATTTTTTTTTCGCAACTAGTTTGATTTGAAATTTACCAAGATCTTTTTCCCAAAGCTCGATATGAACATCCAAACTATGTGCATTATTTGCGCATCCAATTTCCCCGCATACAGTAACTCGTTGTTGTTTACCGAGTAGGAAGAACCCGCTGCTTAATGGCAATAGTAGAATAACTATCACCAATAATTCCATCAATTTTTTTATGAAGCGCAAATGACCTGTATACTTTTGTAATAAAATTATTGAAGATATAATTTTAATTGATGATGAAAGACCGTTGTTGTTAAAAGATGTAATATGCCGAATAATTAGATAATTGCAATGCTATCAACTATAATTTATAAATAATCAATTACTTTTCGTGTAAATTTGTGTAAAATTTTAGCTATTTAATGTTAAATTATTTTTTGTTATTTTGTAGTACTAAAAAATTTTAAAAAAGAATTTCGTTGAAAACGTATGAAAATGAGAAATTGTGTTCACTTTTTGTGCGGTATTTTTTGATTTAATAAATATAGCTTAATTTATCTAAAAGTGGTACTTTTTTCATTTTCAAAGATTGCTTACAATCATTGACATCTTCATATAGCTATTTGACAATTCAATAATATAAAAAGTACTTATCGATTGATCTTTTATTCTTATTGCAATAATTACAATTCATAATTTATCACAAAATATTCAAAAAAATGAAAGATTGGGAATGGTGAATTTTAAGGAATATTTAATGAAATTTTTGTCAGAATGAATATTACCATATCACCACTAATACAATTATTATTTATATCATGAAAATGAGTGTTCAGTTTTTTTCTTTCTTAATTTTTTTTTCTTTTTTTTTTCGTTTTGTTATTGTTTATAAAGTACGCATGAATTATCAACGGAAGCAATTTATCGTCAAAACATCTTTTTTTACGAATTAGAAAATTTTTTTATGCTTTTTGACAGCAATTTATTAATTTCTTGAACAAATTGATTTCATCTAATAATATTTAAAAATTTTTTAATTTTTGATAGCTTAAAATTAATCAGAAGTTTTTGCTTCTAAAATAATACTGATAATGACAAAAAAATAATATGCGAAAAATTTATTTTAACTTTATTGGTCGATTACTTTCAATGCATTTTAGTTTTTCACTTTTTTGATCAAAAAATATTTTAAAGATTATGAATGTGTAAACTTATCAATATACAACTTAATCAAATGATCATTTGCATAATTAGTAGATCTGAACTATTACCATATCACCACTAATACAATTATTATTTATATCATGAAAATGAGTGTTCAGTTTTTTTTCTTGCTTAAATTATTTCCATTTACACGAAGTATGCTTGATTAATTTTAATGTCCAGAAAGTTGAACTCCAAACATTAACTTACTTTCTTCAAATAATGACCGTTTTATCACAT